TCAACTTGGGATACGTTTGCCTCTTCTTCTATTTGAGGGTATTGTTAAACAAATTATAATGCTAAGGCCTAAGTCAAGTTAAATATTTTCAAAAATAATTAGAAGTTGAAATGAAACCATTAAAGGACATTTTTAGCATGCTTCTATTTTTTTTTCCCCCTAAGTTTTTAAATTAATCTAGTACATAAGTTATGTTATTATTATAATACTATAACCATCCTCCTAATACGTACTATGGTGCCTGAAGCTACACTGCATTGTTTCGTGGTATTTGTAACTTCGAATAAATGTTTGATCTGGAAATTATCTCCGAAACCGCAATTTTTTTAATAGAAATAAAGTTTGAATCCGAAGCAACAAATTCTTATCTTACGGCTTAACCGGGATTCTGGTGTGAACTTTGGATGCACGCTGTTAGACAATACGAGGAAATGTAGGTCTGCTATCTATCTACAATTGATCTATTTTACGATCCAAGTTTAAATCATAACATATCAGTCCCACAATAAAATGCTTCATGTAATTTATCTAATGCTTATAGTATGCTAATTATACATTTCTAATTAAAAAAAATGCAGAAGTGTCCTAGTGGTTTCCTATATGGAAGGATACTTTTTAAAACTGCGAATAACATATGCTAGAGATTTTTGATTGAGTGAACTTAAAGTGTTTTCAGAAATCAGAATCGGAATCAAGGAGTTCATTCAGATTTTCGTGACTGTTTTTATTCGTTTTAGATGTATCCCACACAATATCTGCCTCATTATTTTTCTGAGCTACCATAACGTTTGCTAGTGAAAAATCAGAACCAGTCAACTGAATACTGCCTTTTTCAATACCTCTAGCAATACATCTGGACCTATTCATTTCAATTGTTATTTGCGTTTTGTTCTCATTAATACCCTTGAAGAGATTCAAAATATTTTCGACTTGCGGATTATGATTAATTAAGCAAGATTTATTATATCTTTTGAAATTAGGGATTGGTTCTATTACAACTGTGTTATCAATAGAGTAATGGTCACGAAAATAAACCTTCTCTGATTTTTTCAGAAGGCCTTCTTCTTTTTCGAATGCATTTTTAAATAGAACCCCACCTCTGCTATTATTTTCTATTAAACTACGGTCATATTGCCCTATGTTCATGTCAGCTTTTACAATTGGAGTACTTGCAAAGTCATCGTTAATATCTAATTTTTCACCTAAACTTATATTTCCAAATGGTTCATTTACATAGTTCCCATCGGAAGAAAATGAGGTTACCTTTGATTCTTCATCTCTTTTCGAAAATGACATCAGCATATCCTTCAAATTGCTTCCTGTAATTTTCTCTTCAAAGCGGTCTGTTTTTTGAAAAGTACCATCTTTATAATCATCAACCTCTGGTTTTACTGGAGAAGACAAGCTTGCCAACATGTCCTTTTCGATATCATCTAGATTTGGGAAGCATTCTGTTTTGATCACAGTTTCACTTTCGTTAGAGTTAGATTTTTTCTTATTTACCAATGCAATTGCAGATACTATACCTGTTTCAACATTATCTGGCATAAAAAATGTTTTTGACTTGCCCTTAGGTTCTTTGGCTGCCTTTGCCTTTGACTTTTTTGACTTAGGAACCTTGCCTAACATGCATTGTGTTGCGTATCGAATAACTTCATCCGAGTCTTCCATATTGTTAAGTTCATTATTTTCAGCGCTGATATGAATAAATTCTTTTCGGCATTCAGGTGTTATATTTGAAGGGAGAATTCTATCTGACTTCTTGTATTCAACAAAATTTTGACCTATTAGTCTCTGTAAGTCATAATAGTCCTCCATCGCTTTTTCAAATTTACGAGACTCATTGCCGCTAAAAAGGAGAAGAATTTTACCATCTCTCTTTCTACCTGTTCTACCCATTCTTTGAATGTTCTTAATAGGACTTCCTGTTGTATCAAAACAAATAATCATATCAACTTCACCAATATCCAGACCTTCTTCACCAATTGATGTACAAACTAAGACATTATAGTCGCCATTTTTGAATTTAGAAATAACCTCTTTTTGCTGCTTTTGATTCATCCCAGATATTTGGGCTTCTTCTGAACTTCCTGTCCTCCTTGAGGATCTCTCGACTTTTTCTTGCTCTTTTTGTTTTGCCTTGCTTAATTGCTTTTGCTTATCTTCTTCCAAACGCTTTAAACGATCTGCTTTCTTCCTTCCTTTTGGTTTATTCTTACGTATGAAACCTTCATCATCAAAGTTTTCTTTCCCTCTTGCTTGACCAATAAATATATGAGGTCTTATTGACGAACTTCCCATGTTATCGATAGTCTTTACAATTTCCAAGGCACTTTCTCTTAATTCAGTAAATATAATTACTCTAGAATCTAGTCTAGAATTAAGAAAAAAATCACTTAGCTCATTTATTATCTTTTGAAGTTTATCATGTCCAATAAAAGAGGAATTTGATGTATAGACATCACAATTTTTCATCAGAATTTTTAGAATTGGATGATAATAAAAGGATGCCGCAATTTTATTAGTGGACTTCCCCATATTGTATTTAGTTGTGAATTCGCTAAATTTATTTCTGAAATAACCATAGAAACTTCTAATCCCATATATTTTTATTCTTTTAAGCATCTGACCAACATGATTTAATAATTGCAAAATAAAGAAATTTCTCCACTTAATTCCTTCTGCTATTGTTGGGTTAGCGATTATTTGTTGACTTTTTTGCATTGCTACAAATGAATTTATTTGAGATGGATGACATTCATCGTATATTCCCAACTCGACTGCCTGTTGCAGAACAGGCTTCACTGCAATGCCTAATTGTTCAATTATCATTTCAATTTCTGTAGTTAAACCAATTTCTATTTTTTCCTTATATCTTTTTTTCATGTACCGTATTATATCCATACTTTCTTCAGTTCTAATTTCAATATTAGAAATGTTTAAATTGTTTACCACTTCTTGGACACTAGCTATATCTGTACCAGGAGTGGCGGTTAAAGCCAATATCCGATAAGAGGAGTTAAATCTGTCTATAAATTTTACAACGTTTGTATAGGCATATGAACCAGTGGCTCTATGAGCTTCATCAAATACTAAACAAATAATATCTTTGGGATTCAACACTCCCCTCTTTAAGTCATTTTCAATAACTTGTGGGGTTGTAAAAAATACTCTTTTTTGAGTCCAAATGTCTTCTCTGTTTTTCCTACTTTTATCCAATAAAATAGCTGCTTGATCATGAGGAATACCTGTTATACCTAAACAAGCTTTAATTTGTTGTGCTACCAAAGGCCTGGTTGGGGCAGTAAATATAATCTTTCCATTCTTACTCCATCTAAAGAAATTTAGCATTACCGTACTTGCTATAAACGTTTTACCCATACCAGTAGGTATAGCACATAAAGTATTTTGATATAATGATTTTTGAACAATATTGAATTGGTACTCTCTAACTTCGAAATTTGTAGGATAGATATAGCTATCAAAATTATCTTTATCTAAGATATGATGTGTTGCTCCAAAAGTAACCTCTCTTTCGATTTCCTCATAATATGCAACTTGGTTCGGAAGGATCTTACCTGTTAAATCTCTTTGAACCGGAATGGATCTTCGAATTACCGTTTCTGTTTCTCGTCTATTAATATTCTTCTGATACAGATTATCAAATTCATCATTCTTGAGCTTTGCACCTCCATTGTTTCCTGCTTGCATAATTCATATGACATGTATAGCCAAAAATAAATAACAATAATAATAAATTTCTATAGAGAATCCTCTATGTGATATCTTAATCACTTTCTATCCATATACTTACACATATATTTTGACATGTCTCCATTGTGAAGTCTTTAAAATCTGTTAAAACGCGTAAACTTTTGTTTAAATTAGCTTTATTTGTTTTTATTTACCCCATCGCTAGCTTCACTAAAAAAATAGATCTAAGAACATCACGTAAAAAACGCGAAGAATATTTACAAATGCATTGCTATGACAACACATAGGATAATAGACTTGTTTCAATGTTATTTATTATTACTACTATAAATATGTGCATGAACATTATATTTATCTATAATTATAATTTCTACTTTTTAAATGCATCGAATGAGGAAATAATATCATTCTTAGTAAATAGAACTGTCGATCCAACATAATGTTTATCAATTAGGGTGAAAAGTTTCAAATACAATGAAACTGTTTCACCTTGGATACAAGACCAAAGTTTTTCACATAGGGCATTAGAAAATTCTCTGTTTAAGTCTCTATTAAATTGTTTTTGGATACGTTCATGCAAACTTGAGACCAAAAGTTCAATTTCTTCAGAGGTATACGCTGCTAGAATGTTATCTAGATTCTGTTTACTATACACAGCCCATCTAGATGGGTTAACTGTATTTTGAAAGTTAGAGGTTTCAATAACATTGCTAGCACCATTAACAAAAGAAGATAGCTTAGGCATGGCATCTTGTAATAGATGTTGTGCATATAAAACCTTTTCCCTGTCAAAAACTTCCTTGGCACTTCTAATTGGAATATCAAACGTACCTTGATCATTAACCATTGGCAAAGTTTCTCTTAACCAAAAGCTGTTTACCAGCAATGTCATTGTTTTATTGATATCATGTCTTCCTATAGTTTTTTCATGTACGCTACTTGTGCTCCCTGTATCGGTATTCCCTCTGCACAAAATTTGGGTAACTGAAGTACTTAGCTTTTCAAAGGCGTTCTTGGTAATATCTTCGGTGGTGAGAACACTAATTTCATCAACTTTAACTTGATGTTGAGTAAAAGCCATCAAGTCCCTTGCATTTTTAATGAAAATTGGCAATGAAAGAATTGACGGAGCAAGGGTTTGTCCTGAGAAATTCATTACAACTCTTTCATAGTTCATTACTTGATCATCAACGTATTCGGCCCATAACTGTTTAACTTGAGTTGATAGCCTTGTCATTATCGATAATAAAAATTCTTGATTTGAAGATTGGATTTCCTGGATCTTATTTTCCAAGAACAGCAAAATTGAAGGCGCTATGCTCTTATTAAAGGTAAAAATTTTGTTTAAATCCTCAGATATTTGTGGAATGATACTTTGAAATACTTTTGAAACCAGCTGGGTTTTCATCAATGTCAATTCCCTATCGGATTCAACTACCTTCAACTCTACCAAAGAAGGTGTCTTGAAATTTGGATTACGTCTTTGTTTCAAAAATTCATTAAAATCTAAGTCGGATGAAATATGGAAGAAACTGTCAATAAAATTCTGGTAAACTATGCACAGGTTTTCTACCTTGTTTATCAACGACATAAATTCTGACAGAACATTTACAATAATAGGAGTTTCTGCCATAACCTTTTTGTCTTTCTTAAATTTGATCCATTGGGTAATGAAGGTAGATTCTTGTTGTTGATGAATTGGAGCTTCCTCTTGAATATCCTGAACTTCTGAAATCTTCAGATCCAACTTGCCAAATATTTTAGAAAATCTACCAGTATATACAGGTTGAATATCATCTGTCCACTCATCAATAATTTCAGTATAACGTTCTGGTGAAATATCTTTACAAAATGAGGTTAAACTTGAGTATATTAATAATCTACCCAAAATATTTGTCAATTGATCATCCGAAGTTACATCGCTTTGAAAATTAGCAAATCTTCTTCCCAATTCTTGTACAACTCTGTCCAGGAAAACCTTAGTAACCTTTTCATAGGCTTGCCTTCTTGGAGCCAGAGCATGAATCTTACCTAAATCACCAGTTTCTGTTTTAGTTTCACCCTTAATGGCTTTAATAGCATTAAACAACCCTTCCAATTGAATTTCAATTCTTGGTAAACTTCTTTCACTTATAGTCGAACTTAGTAGTTCATTAAGAGCATTTTCATCCAAAGAAACTGTATTCAAAAGATCAGTCAGCAAAGACCATAAAAGTTTTTTATTTGCACTTTCAACCTGAAGACCATTATTTTGACGTTCAACATATTCAATATCATCCAATAGATTATTCATTTCCATTAGGAATAAAGAAAACGTGGGATTAATCTTTTCACATTCTTTACTTACATTTTGTTCGTACCCTGATAGGGTTGTTTGTAGGTTTTCGAGTAACAAAAGATCATTGTTGAAATCATATTCAGTCTCTGCTAATTTATAGTCCAACCTTTCCACAAGTTTATCTGCATCTTCGTCAAGCTCCCAGTTTACATCGGATAAAATTTCCAGCAAAGCTTGATTATCAATATTCAATGCTCTTTTACTACTAGATTTTGTTCTTTTCTCTAAATCTACATCTTCTCTTTCCTCTGGGGTATTAAAATTTGACACCAATGGTGCTTCTTCTTGAATAGTAGAAACTTCATGATAAACATGTTTAGAAGATGGTTCAATTACTTGACTATAACGAGATTCATCACCTTTTTCAAAAGATAATTCGGTAGTATCGTTTGCATCCCTATCCTCTGACGTATCTGGTGGTAAGTTTAAATCTAATTCACCTTCTTCCTCTTCTTCACCACCATAATCATCATATAGATCTACTACATCCTCGTTGGATCTAATAGATAAAGGCTTGATTTCCATATCGTCATCCAAGCTATTTTCTGCATATATCCCACTTTGATCCTCAATTTCTGTTTTTTGATTGCCTTTGTTTGATTCTAATATAGCATTTAAATCTTCTAACATGTGATCGTGCTTGACATAAGATGAATAATCATTTGATTCGATAGTTTCATTTACATGATGATTTGGCACATTCTTTAGAGGAGGATTAATATTAGTGGCTACTGGCTCATTATTTGTGACAATTTCGCTTACATAAGAACTTTGCCCGTCTGATCTTACAACTGATGCTTTTGAGTGCTTTTCAGCATTTTGAGAAAAATGTTGAGACTCGTTTCCAGAATCCGATATAATACTGGTTGGATATTCCATGGTAGCAGCTGGATGTGAAATTTCATTTCTCGATTCTTGTACCGCATTCCTAAAAGATTGGCTTTCATAATCCTGGTGTGAAGCTTCAGAGGAATATCTTTTATTCTTATCAGAAACGGCTGATCTCGAAGGTGTTTGATTTGGAATGGCCTGAGTGTCTAAATCATACGCCTTATTTACTTCATTTATTGTAGTTGGAGTCGCATATGGCGGTTTATTTAGCCCACCTTTTGGAGTTGAATTATTTGTATCAGTAGATAAACTTTTATTATCTCTTAGGTTGTTATTCAAATCACCAGAAGAATTTTGTTGATAATATCTCCTTTGCCTATCTGGTGACCTTGGAGTAATAGGAGAAGAAGCAGAATCGTTAAACTGCATGTCAGATTGGGTATTTATATTTAAAGCAACATCCTGTCTATATCTTAGGTTTGGGTTTTGCAAATATTGCTGGGGTTGGTTTACTGGTAATGGAGCAGATGTATAACTTTTTGGTGTCTGATTCTGTTGAGTATTATATTGTTGTTGGATTGGTCTTCGTACCTGTGCTTGTTGTTGCTGTTGTTGCTGTTGTTGCTGTTGTTGCTGTTGTTGCTGTTGTTGCTGTTGTTGCTGTTGCTGTTGCTGTTGTAATGGTTGTTTCACCGTCTGTGGTATCATCTGCTTTTGAAGACCTTGTTGTTGTGAACTAGGAGGCATCGGAAATGTTTTTTGCATGTTTGGATTCTGTTGATATTGTTGCTCTGGTAACGCACTCGAAATATTTTGAGCTTTTGCAGTTTTCTGTTCCGAAGCTGGATGGATGACAGCCCTTTGATAACTCTTTTCATCTAAATAGAAGGAAGCTAAATCCCAATTTGTTAAAATTGGAACATGCCCATCAAACGCTTGCATGTAAACTTTGACCAAGAATTTTATGAATACGGTTCTTTCCTTTGCACTATTTGTTTCCCAATAATACGGTTTTCCCATAGTCATCACAAAACCTTCATTAATTTCCAAATCTCTGTCAATTTTTGTCAATTCTTTTAAATCCCAAGTCCTTCCGATCTGGAACGAACCATCAGCATTTTCACGACCTTTATGAATCTGAACAGAATCTGAATTTTTTGCCTTTGAACTTAGAATAATAACTCTTTTTTTCTTATTTTCTAATTTTGAATTTGGAGGTGGTCTTGAACTTGGATATTTAGCATCTTCAATTATACGGACATGAGTAATATAATCGTTTGGTAGATTACCAGTCTTTGAATCAGGTTTAGTAAAACAATATGCAATGATAGCCTTCCTATCTCTTTCATATTGTTCAGCTAGAAAATTTGAACTTTGGGAACTTGTCGATGATTTCGAGGTTGTTCTTTTATGTGAAAAAGTATTATTACCAGAAATAGGAGGTGTTGGTGCAATATTATTATTATTTAAACTCGTATTTCTAGAATGATGCTCTTGTTGTCCTTGCCCTTGTTTTACGCTGCTTCCAGAAATTGATCTTTTATGAAAAATTGAAGAAGAGTGTTCTTCGCTAGGCGATTCTTTACCATGAGAAAGTCTTCTAAATGGAGATTTTGGGCCTACCATTGTATAGTGTATATGTATCTAGTTATTATAATTATCTTTTTTTTCTATCCTTTCCCCTCTCTAATTATATTATCTAAAAAGTGATCTTACTATGGCAAATGTTATCAATCCCTTGATATGAAAGAAGTACAACTGATGCTACTTAATATTAAATCAAAAAGCATACGTATACAAATCGAACGTAAATCTCAATTGATCAATTTTCTTGACTATTAAACAATAAATTCAGATAATATATAATGTATATTAAGGAATTCAAAATCGAAATAATAATAATTGTAAAAAAAAAGGAAAATAAAAATAAAAATAAGATTAAAACGAAACAAAGCGATCAAAAGACAGTTCACTTTAATAGTTGATATTCCTAAGGTTTAATGATTATAATTAAGAAATTATATATCATTAACAAACTATACAAAATTAACTTCAACTTTTATTTAACTATATATTTCGATTCGTAAATTAAATATAAACTATCGTTAAATTTAACAAAGTTAACAAATTCCCCTTTTTAAAGGAAAATGAAAGAGATATTAATGTAATTACCCGGACTACCAATCAGAAATAACTGCAGAGAATCAACAAATTTACAATCGAGTACCGAATCGAATCCAGTTGACAAAATAAACACATCAATTCATACCCATAAACGGGTTTAGATATAGGATATGTCTTAGGATCTCATTCATCGCAAAATTGATATTTCTACTTTACAGTTCTCAATTACAATACATTTTACCTGTTATTGATTATTTTTTTTTTAATAAAAAAACACTAACTCTACATTCCTCTCGTTCAGCACCATTAAACATCACAAAATCGCAGTTAATTTGTTTCGTAACAGTAATTGCCAGAAAAAACCTTTAACGTAAATATATATATATATATAGTCCAACCCAATTATATATAATATAATATATAAGATATACCATCACCTTTTGTCTTATTACTTCATTTTGTACTGTAATTTGTTAGGTTTACCTTCCACATTTGAATTCGAAAATTTAAAAATTCAAAATTTACAAACTAAAAGAAAAAGCTAAACTGCAGCTAAAACAGGAATAGAACCAAAAATAGCATTATACAAAAATTGAATTGAATACTTTACTCATTCTTGTTTCGGGATATATCAAGATCTTATCGAAATTGCAAGATCTATTTGTCATACGTTTGATAATTTTTAAAAAGGTTGGAATTTAAATTATAATATATATCTATATATTTCCCCTTTTTTTGTTTGTTAACTTATTTATTTTTAACGAATAGCAATTTATAAAAGCATTGAATCTAGCTAGAGATTTAGTTGTATTCAGTTTTTCAGTGTAAAAGGTCAAAGATAAGGGAAGAACAAAAAACAAATGTCTGAGGAGGATATTCCTATCATTCCATCAAGACCCAAGAAAAGGGCAACTGATTCTTCTTTAAGTAGCTACACGCCAAATGCTAGTGCAGATAATTTGATTTCACCTTCACCACCAATCATCCCTACAAGCAGGCCTTTATCAAGGGCAAAGACTACAGATAATATAAATACTGATCCTGTTACTACAACTGGCATTGCTACGAAGGAAGAAGTAGAATTGCCAAAGGTTCCTACTAATAGACCAACAAGACGCACAACTACGCAAGAATTAAATGATTTAATTGATAATACAAACCATGAATTGGAGGAAATCGAAGCGATGGTGTTTAAAGATGATCCAAATAAAATGAGTACTGGTACCAATGATGATGATATTCCTCATGTTCCTGGAAATAGACCAAAAATCACTTCTAAAACAACAACAACGATTACTAAAGAATCTCTAAATGACAGCGATGCTGCAATTAATAATAAAAATCCTTCAGATGAACAAACTGATTCGAAAGTAAGGCCTGAAGTTTTTAAAGAAAATCTCAATGAAGCGAAAATTGCAAAAACGTATGATATTATGGATATGAACAACGACATCAAAGAATTTGTCGATAATGGAAATAAAACATTGAGTGAAAATGAAGATACTGTTTCAACAGAACATCTCGACAAAGTTACAACTAGTGATGCTTCGAGAGTTGATGAACCTCCTGACACAACACTAATGAAAGAGCCAAATACAATTCTTGATTCTGAAGAAGTTCTTGCTAGCAACGATGGGCAGGTATCCATTAATGAAAAGGAGATAACACCTACGATCCCAAATAGACCATCAAGAAAGAAGGAAGAACAATCGGAATCTACATCTAATGTAGAATCTACTCCTGTTATTCCTGTAAGACCGGCTAAGGTTAAAGAGATACAGTCTGAATCTTCAACACGTTTAGAATCTTCTAGCTCTGACGAACAGGAGAAGGCTAATATGGTAGACTCAGTATCTGCGGTTGCAGAAAGATCTACAAATAGTAAAGATCAAATATACACCAATTCAGAACGTGCATCAAAGGAAAGTTTGAGTGAGGCAAAAGAACCTGAAATTGAGAAGAATGATAACCAAGTACATATAGAGACTAAACATATTCCAGTAATACCTGAAAGACCTAAAAAGAATGGACCGCCACCAATTCCAAAAAAGCCCTCCTCAAGAATTGCCGCCTTCCAAAAGATGATTCAAGAACAACAAGCACAAAGCTTTAATTCATTAGCATCTGACGTCCCAACATCAGAACGGACTATCTCTGAGATTGAAAAAGATGGTGATAAATTGAAAACTGAACAGACAATGGAAGAGAAAAATCAAATCAACAGAAGTAATGCCGAGAGAACCAAATTTGCAAGTAGCTTGAATGGATTATTCGCCTTGCCGGGAATGGCTCCATTACAAAATCTACCAGCCGCATTAACCAAAAAATTGTCCCAGCCTTCTGAATCTGGTTTCAATGACTCCAAGGAAGTAAATGGAGGTGAAAACATATCTAATATTCGTCAAAAACGTGCTAGGGGTCCTAGGGGTAGAAAATTACCTTCAAAGGTTGCTGCTGTAGAAAAAGTCAATGACTCAAATAACTCCAATGAAATTGAAGTTTTCAGAGCGTGGAGAATTGATTCTAAACCTGTGACACCTTCAGAAGAAATAGTTATCACTCAGAATCAGCTAAGTGATAAACAATCTGTAATTTCGTCAGAAGATATTATAACTGAATCAGAAACTGACAAACAAATCACTTCCTCTACAGAAGAATTTCATAAATATACAGAACAAGAGACAGATATCACTGATAGAAATCAGGATGTGACGGCCGAAGTCCTAGAGCATGACATTGAAGTACAGATTGAAAAAGAAATGGAAGAACAGATATTGGCCGAGGATGAACCTTATGAGGAAGTATTTAGTGCAGAAACTATTGGATAATTTTAAACCATACACTAACGTTGGGACGAACAATTTTCACATTATCAGTTAAATATTTATTATTTATATCAGTGTATAAATAACGTTTGTAAGATCAAATGATTATGATAAACACTTCGTAAAACTTATACCAGAATTTGAGAGTTTGATTTAAATTAATTCAGTTTTCATCTGTAAGGCAACTGTATACTCTATTATTTTGATAAGGCCTATCCGAACTTATTACATTGTGTCAGTAATAAGGAGAACTGGAATTGATGCATATATTATAGAGACTCATACCTTAATATGGACTATCTAATTAGAGCAAAATACTTTTGAATATTGATATACAGGCTTGTAGAGAATCAATATTTCCTAAAGACTTAATAGTCAAAAAAATAAGTGCTGATTGAGCTGTCTCTGGCAGAAATAGAATTCTTGGCGCTGTTTGTGTGTCATTTCGCACGATACAGATTCATGACGAAACCATCTAGTCTCTGAATATCGAATATCGAAACGATAATTTAAGAAGAGAAAGGCTTATAGAAGCGACTTAAAGTAATATATAAAGGGGTCTCTTTCAAGATTGGAATCACCATAGAGAGTACCACATTACTGTTTGCCTTCAAAACGGCCTTGAACTTTAGTACCTAATTACTAGTACCTGATGTTCAATTCGTTCCAGCAGCAGGGAACCATCCAGCCTCAAGGAACTGGCTATTATCCCACACAACAAGGACAACAAGGACAGCAAGGACAGCAAGGACAGCAAGGACAGCAAGGACAGCAAGGACAACAGCAACAATCATTTCAATCACAACCGCCTTTCAATAGTTATGTTCAGCAGCCTAATGCAGGTATAGGAGGATTTCCTCAGGGACAATCTTCTTTTGGGAATACTTCTCAAATGACAAACCAACCATCTTCAGGATTCACCTCTGGACAATACGCAGGCGGAAGTAATGCCAACAGTAACCTTTTCAATCAATCTTCTCAACAATTTGGGGGTGTTGGAAATAATAATGTCAATGTTAACCAAAGTTCCGACCCTTCTTCATTACTGCCACAAGGAGGCTCCTATAACAATGCAGGTTTACAACGTCCACAGTTACAACCTGTACAATCGGTTCAGTCGGTTCATTCTATGCACTCTCTTGGACCTGCTCAAACAATGTCGTCTATAAATCCAATTCAATCCCAAACTGGAGACTACTATGGAAATGCACTTTCTCAACAGCAATCAAGAACTTCCTTAATGTCTACATCCTCCCAAATGGGAGGTAACCAATTGTACGACACTAATTCTCAAATATTGCAACCACAACAACAACAGCAGCAGCAACAGCAGAATATTCAGGTTACTGCCCCATTACAACAACAAAGCACTGGGTTATATTCTAGCGCATCTCAACCTGCTCAAGCGGCAAACTTGCAACCTCAACAAACTGGATTTTACTCGCAACAACCACTACAACCACAACAGACAGGATTTTATGCTCAACAAAGTCAGGTTCCTTTAGAACCTTTGAAACCAACAGCCACTGGGTTTGTTAATTCGTTTGCGAATAATGGTATTAATAACGATATTAAAATCCCAACTATGAGATTGTCATTTATTACAGCTCAAGATCAAGCCAAGTTTGAAACATTGTTTAGATCTAGAGTTTCTAAAGGATCCAATACCATTTCTGGTGATAACTGTAGAGCTATCTTGATGAAGTCCGGATTGCAACCAAAACAGTTGGCGAAAATCTGGACCTTATGTGATACGAGTAAAGCTGGGGAGTTGCTGTTTCCTGAATTCGCATTAGCAATGCATTTGGTCAATGAGGTTTTACAAGGTGATTCGATCCCTTATGAACTTGATATTAAGAGCAAAAATGAGGTTAACAGTTTTATTGATGCTATTAATATGAGTATTGTTTCTGGATCTACTGAAGAGCCTGCTAAGCAAGCGACTCCGTTCGATTCCTTATTCACTAATGGCTTATCGGTATTGCAACCACAGGCAACTGGTATGATTCCTGCTACTAGTTTTGGCGTTCCATTACAAAATCAAATGACAGGTGGTATGTTAAATCCTCAAGCCACTGGTATGATGCCACAGACTAGTTTTGGCATGCCAATGCAAGTTACCGGCGGGCCATTGCTGTCGCAAACTACAGGTGGGGCCCTACAGCCCCAAACAACTGGGTTTATGCCATCCACCTCGTTTGGAATGCCACTGCAAACACAAATAACCGGGGGAGCTATGATGCCTAATTTGCAACCTCAAACCACTGGATCAATGATGCCTAACTTGCAACCTCAAACCACTGGATCAATGATGCCTAACTTGCAACCTCAAACCACTGGATCAATGATGCCTAACTTGCAATCTCAAACCACTGGATCTATGATGCCTAACTTACAGTCTCAGATGACAGGGTCCATGGGCGTTGGGACAACTAGTTTTGGAATGCAACCTCAGGCCACTGGGAATATTTCTTTGCAGCCAAATCCTACTGGATTTCTTCCAGTCTCAAACTTCAACCCAACTGCTCCATTGACAGCTCAAAAGACAGGTTTTGGTAACAATGAAATCTATAGTCAAAGGAACTTTGGTTCTAGTTTAGGACAAGCCGAGGAAGATAGTATTTCTACAGAAGAAAAATCATTATTCTATAAGATTTTCGAGACTTATGATTCACAAAAGAAAGGACTATTAGACTCACCAACAGCAGTCGAAATTTTCCGTAAATCTGGTTTAAACAGAAGTGACCTAGAGCATATTTGGAATTTATGTGACATAAACAATCGTGGTCAGTTGAGCAAGCAAGAATTTGCACTTGGTATGCATTTAGTTTATAGAAAGTTGAATGGTAAGATTCTTCCTAATAGATTACCTCCAAGTTTAATTCCTTCTAGTAACAAGATCCTAGATAATGTGAAGAACCAGTTGAAAGTTGCATCTACCTCTAATGACACCAAGAAGGCACCATCTCGTACTGATGGGTTAAGTTACAAAAATAATGATGACGAAAATATCCTTCCAAGTTTCAGGAATCGTAGAAAGAATTATTCAACAAATGGAACGTCAAGTTCAAGCTTAGATAATACTCCTAGAGGTTCTCCTGTCACTGTTTCTGGTGCCAATGTTTCATCTGACACTGGTGTGACTACTGCAGTTACGACATCTTCAGCGCCAGTTGCGCCTGTAGCATCAGCGGTTGTGAAGGATGGCAGAATTGATATGTTACAAAAGTCTATCAGAGAGAAGAGAGGTCAGCTTGAAGCGGAAATATCTCGTAATCGCCGTATGTTGAATCAATCGGCAGAAAATAGAGAAAATGATATGAGAATGATCGGTTCTCTAAAAGACAAGATAGCGAATGTCCCACATATTTTATATACAAAAAATTCTTCAATTCCTGATGACTTGAACAGACGTATTGATACTATTGTTTCAAGAATCCCCGTGCTATTTTCTGAGATTGCCGATATTGAATTTGCTATTAGCAATTCTAAAATCGAACTGTATAAGTTACAAAACCCATCCTCCATCATAGGATCTGGCCCTCACGGGGAAATTACTGATGAGGATAGAAAGAAGGCCAGAAGCAAAGCATTATTGAAAAGCAGAATGGCTGCATTGACTGGCAAAGCTGAAGAAGCCGGTAATTCAATCGAAGAAGAAGAGGCAAGATACAACAAGGCGGTCGCCAATATAAGAAATGAAAGCAGAAAGAATAGAGGTATTATAGGTGATATCAGAGGTTCAATCTCTGAGCTGTCTGCTTCTCTAATGTCAACTTTAACAGGGGGGGCAGCAGGTCAAAACACTTCCGAGTTTGAAAAATGGGAATTTGGTGTTGGTCTAGAGAAAGAAGTGCGTACTTTTATCGAAACTTTGAAATCAGGCGGTATATTGAGCGGGTCATCTTTGTCTACAGAGACAAATTTGAATGACAAAGAAGATGAAAGAGTTCAATATTTGAAGGATCAGGCTCAAAGGAAAATGGAGCAAAAATTAGCAGAGCTTGGCATTAACAAACCTGCAGAAAGTCCTTCACAGCAGAGTTTGAGTTCCCCTTCCCAAATGGAGGCCCAAGCAACCCCAGTGAAATCTCCATTCCAAGAAACTCAACATGCTGATGAACGAAGCGAAGATAGTGAAGATGAAGAAGAGAAGAGGTTGCGGGAAGAGTTAGAGAGAATAAAGTTGAAGAAGAAGGCTGATAAAGAAAAAAGATTAGCTGAATTACGTAGGCAAGTCCAAGATGCTCAAGCTGAATCTGATGATGGATTCAGTTCTTCGGTTTCTGGTAGTAATAATGGCAACGTTCTAGCACCACAAGTTGAGGGAACAGTCGGTCATGTCGAATACCCAGCAGTGCCTTCAGCTGCCAATCCAGTCTCCTCCGTTTCCGCATCTATGTCAGGAAGCTCTACGCCTGTTCAAGGGACATCGGCAGCTGCAAGAAACCCATTTTTCAAGTCTACGGATAGTTCCAACAGTACTTCAGGTTTATCTGATTTAAAGGCAGCAGAGGCTCAGAGGCGTTCTCAAAGGGGTTTGGATGATGATGCCGATGCCTGGTCAGATGATGAACCTTCTCCAGTTGCTCCAGCTCCGGTTGCTCCAGCTCCGGTTGCTCCAGCTCCGGTTGCTCCAGCTCCGGTTGCTCCAGCTCCGGTTGCTCCAGCTCCGGTTGCTCCAGCTCCGGTTGCTCCAGCTCCAGCTCCAGTTGCTCCATCTCCAGTTGCCCCAGTTCCAGTTGCTCCATCTCCGGTTGCTCCAGCTCCAGTTGCTCCATCTCCAGTTGCCCCAGTTCCAGTTGCTCCATCTCCAGCAGCTCCTCAGCCATCTAATCTACCACCAGTTCCTATTGCCCCTCCATTACCACAAGTTCAAGGTGTTCCTCAGCCAGTTGTTCCACTGGCACCACCATTGCCTCAGGTAAAACAAGAAGAACAAGGAAACTTTTTAGCGCCACCACCATCACTTCCTCATATGGACAATATCCAAAACTCGCAGAATTTGGATAGCCATTCAGATCAAGATGATGTGTTATCAATTCCGGATTCTGTTGCTTCTGAGGATGAATTAGGTGATGAGCCTGGTCTCCCACCATCTGGGATCCCACCACCTCCTCCTTTACCTTGATTTATATCGTAACGATGGTTAGATCTCTATATAAACATTATTTAGCGGTTTATATAGTAAAATTCTTTGAAATGAATATTGTTTTATTACACTCGCAGTAGATTTTTAAGTTCAATCCTATAAGTCTTGGAACTTTTTTTCAATTTTATTAAAAATAAAGACAGAGTATCGCTTTATTATATATATTTTTTTACAGAAAGTGACTATGCTAAGGGTATAATATTACAACTGATAATTCTAAATCTTATATAGAAGTTACAACATACCAACAAATAAGCGTAAGGTCATGTATAGGCGGACCCATGTTGGTATATACAGTACAAAGAAGTAGATGCGCTACTAGATTCGGTGTGTTCAATCATAGCAACAAAGCAGCGGCAGCAGCAAATAAAGTACCCATTCCAGCTACATTTAATTTACCGGCGACATTACTGTTAACCAATACGGTGAAAGATGAGCTAGATGTGGTACTTTGACTTTGAATAGCAGAAGTAGTCATTTGTAGAGTAGTGATAGTAGTCTTTACAATGTTAGTTTCGGTAACATAAGAAGTTGGCTCAACAGAAGTGGTGTTGCTGAATGTGCAGCCTTCAGAGCAGGATGTGATAGTAGCTTCAACAGTGGAGAAGTGGCTAACGGTAGCAGTAGCAGTAGCATTTTGAACAACTGGAGCAGCAGTAGTAATGCAGGAAGAAGTTTCAGCAAGTGTTGTTGTGTTGTACAAAGGTACATCGGTGATGTTTGCAGAAACTGGAGCTGGGGTTTCGACAGCTAGAGATGACATACTTGAAGTTATAACATTGGAAGTAGAATTGCTGAATGCAACGGCAGGAGCTGCTGCTGCAACTGGAGAAACTGCAACTGGAGAAACTGCAATTGGAGAAATGAAAGATGACGATGAGACTGGTGCAACAGAGGAGACTGGTGCAACAGCTTCGACAGATGAAGTAGTTGGAATAACAGAACTTGTGGTCAACACAGTACTTGGTAATACGGTTTCATAAACAGTGATGACAGATGTAGTTGTTGTGGTAATAGGATCATTGGCAACCACGGAAGTAGCAGAAACAGCAGAGACGGCTGCGGATAATAAAATAGCTAGCTTAGTTAAAGACATTTTGTTCTTATATGTTTGTATTTTCGTCTATCTATGTCAAAGCTAATGATAGTTCTTGCTAGACTGATGAATGATGGATTCTTGAAAATTGAATGCTAATATAGAAAGTATTAAAAGCATTAAAGTTTGAGTAAGGAATTAATCTAGGCCAAGAACCAAAAAGGAAGCTAGAATTAAGACAAAACATTTCTGATCCAGAAGCTTTTCTCATTGCTTATATATGAAATGTCCATCTTACTCAAGTAGGAAGCAGGTAAACAAAACTTTTTTGTTTATTGAAGTTCGAAATAAACAAGAGAAAAAGAAACGGTACCATGTTTCGGCTCGAGGAAATAATTCTACTGCAGTATTTTCTTCGCGATCCAAAAACTATCCCGATTTCTTGGGCAGACATTTTTAAATCGATTACCTGATTTAGCGTATATTTCCTGATCTGGATAGCACCAATTTGGGATATATACAATTCCAGTGTATTTCTACAGATGGAAGATTACTGTTTTGGGTAGATTAGCGGTGTCCAGATCTGGAAATGCTTTTCTGCGGCCTCCCAACATATGTTAAAAAGTACATCAACAATAGTACCATTTAGATCAGGTTATAGGATGTACTTATAATCGTGAATTTTGAAAGAGATGATGGGAAGTAAATTGAACTAAATGAATTCATGAAAATATGGTGAGACAAGGAACCTTGCAAGTACAAGAATAATGAGACGAGAACATAAATAAACTACACCATAGTTATAAACGAGTCTCGGCACACTTGTCCTTCAAACTTCCTCGATTAATCATTTCAATATCAATTCCTAAATCGGTTCTTTTCATACTAATAGGATATACTGAATCCAGAATTTAAAAAATAACCTTAATTACTTCATGGTATGTAGTATAAAATTTTTTTGTAGTAATTGCCTATCTCTATAAATTAGGTGAAAGTGTTTTCACTTAAGTTTAAGTGGCATTAAATGAAAAGTTCTTTAGTATAATGTTCTCTTTCGGACACCAAGTTTCTAGTTGGTGTGATATAGATGAGAATTTTGGATAATATTCTTACACACCGTTGATGATTTTGGACAAGATGGTGACTCGTGATTGCATAGGTCCTCAGATCAAGGTAAAATAATAATAAAATCCTAAAAAATATATAATGTATCTTAGTTAAGGGTAAAAGCTGTTCCTAACTCTTTATAATATATAGTAATTTATAATGATTTTAATTTTAACAAAACTTTGGATGACAGAAAAGTGAAAGATATGGTACCAATTTTATCAAGGCCAACCCAATCATCAAGATGCCATAGTTCGCTATAAAGGATAGGAATGCATTGAAATTGAAGTTCTAAAAATATCGATCAAAATAGTATTAATAGTAACTGTATTTCGAATCTAAATTAGACGCTCTGGAATTGTCAGTTTATATTGCCATGTTTATAAGGTTTGTATATGACTGTGTATATCAGTTTCTGTGACGTTTCTAAATCGAAACCCTCATTTGCAAATTCGAAAAAAATGGTTGCTGTATGTAAAAATAGACTAGTTTTATAATCAATTTTTTCCCCCGTTATTCTAGGTCCATTTAACCTGACCTGATCCTGATATCAGTGTTTTCTTTACGGTTAAAGAGATAGGTTGTGAGAGCCCATGTAATATTGAATAAGTTAAGAGACAGCTAATTTAAGCTATTAAAAAAATTAAACGAGAATGCTTCCAACCAGAGTCGAACTGATGATCTCCACATTACTAGTGTGGCGCCTTACCAACTTGGCCATAGAAGCAAGGATTCTTACATTCTTTCCGCAAAGAAATAGGATCGAATCAGGGATAGCCCTGATCAAAATGACAGATCCTCTTTCCTTTGTTCTGACCTAGAAGGTTCCAGAATGTTCCTTATATTGTATTATTTCGAGACTACTTCGAGGTTACTTCATACGAACCTTGAAGGTGAAGAAATATGTGTCACTACAATGTTCAGATGTAAAAGTAATATCTGATTGATTCATTTTGGTGATTGATACAAGTTGTTTTTAATATAATATTTATATTTATTTCTCCGTAGTGTCTTATAAATGTAACTAAATAAATATATATTAATATTTGGGATAAACAATATTTTAGATGTGCCAAAATGTCATGCCTTTTTATACGTTTAGATCCAATCTCATAATCTTAATATGATTCGATCAATACATAGAATTTATCGGATCATAATATTATTCTAGACTGATATAGGTATGTAACCTTTATCTCTTAGCTTATGACTATAATAATTAGGTTAATGTTATTAGCGCAATAAATATCATTTATCACGTGATATGAATAACCTTGAAACCCATTAGTGTAAACCATACATTTTAGGTTACAACATACAAGAATGTTGTTACATGCTATTAACATTGATATTTAAAGAGATCATTGTACATTATTGTATATTATTGTATATTATTTAGTATCTTACTTTGTACATAAAATAGATATAGAACTTTATTATTATTAACAGTATATTTACTTTAAAACTACAGATCTCCACCCTTAAGATCCTATAGAATAAACGCTTACCAGCCTTCATTCTAACGTATACCAAATTCAATATACAACTAAATAATAATTAAAGCATTAATTAGAGGCCAAATAATACAATTTCCACTCACACGTGACTACTTTATACTGTATTCTTTGTTGTGTATTCTTTAGTTGTAGATATTGTAGAGAATTATGTTGTAGATTTTCTACCGAATCGTTCATAGTAATAGATTCTTTATTTATTTCCAAGGACATTCTTAATAAGTTGATATTGACCCGTTGTATTAAAGTATAAAATATACACATGGGAATATAGTACATATGATAAGTGTCAATTAAGATCTTATCCCGCTTTATATACAATGTTTAGATATTCTTGATACGTCAGAGGTAAATACTTTCGTATTAGAAACATTTCTTTATCCTATATGAATAATGTCGTAATACGTCTATATCACGTGTTACCTCATAATTCTGACAGTTTTCTCTAGCATATCATTATTCTCTAGCATATCATTATTCTCTAGCATATCATTATTCTCTATCTAGCATGTGCTTTACTCATTATGTCCAATAATTAGGACTGGAGTTCAGCTGGATTAATACAAGATTTTGTATTAATATAAGTGGCAATTTAAGAGAAAAAGTATTTACCATGTCAGTTTAATTTAATAAAGACACAAGAAGAATACCACTGGCAGTATATAGAGAGCGGAGTGCCTGCTGTATGAGGCACATACATCGTGCCATTAAAAGAAGACCAGAGAAATCTTTATATGTTAATAATA